ATGATATCTATGTTAGTAAAATGCCCTGCATACTCTACTCTACCAGCACTTTGATAGGTACTCAAAGGAAGCCTTAATTATAGTGACTGATTATCTTTTTTGAAAAATCAAATGGTCTCTTCAGAGAATTACATTAATGACTAAATTCTGACACAACATTCTTCACAAATCTAGGTTTTTTCTAAGTTTAGTTAACTAGAATAACAACCGTGACATAATCCTAGGGAGACTTGGGCAAGAAATAGACTAAATTCTATTTCTGAAACCTTTTCCTAATGGAAATGCCCTGACAATTCAATTTACTTCCACCAAAAGTAAGAGGCCCATAAATGTTGAAGTAAACATGACTACTAGAACTCATATATTAGGACTTGAGATTAGGTAATTCATAGACTAAATACGTAGTCCCTAAACATAGTCACTGCTTCCCTAGCATAATGACAACTTATAGTTTACAAAAATAATATTGTCAGTTTTGTAAAATGCAAAAAAAAGTTTGGAATGACAATGATAAGAGTTTCAAGTCTGACTTTATATTTTATCAATATTTCTTTTATCCTCTTGAAAAACATGGATGATAATACCACATTTATAATAAAATAAAAATTTTTTCAGGGTTATTGAGTGAACTAAACAGATATATAGCCTTGCATATGACCAATTAATACATCATAAATTTTCTATAAATGAACAATGGTTTGTTCTTTTGCAAATTATGTGCAAGAGACTGACTGGATTTAATGAGAAAGAAAGGCCATGCAAGAAGGAAAGAGTTGGCCCAGATGACAGTCTGGCTGTCTAAATTGGGAAGATCATTTACCCTTAAGAATTCTCAGTTTTTACATCTGTATTGTGAGGATGTTGCTTTTTATCCTGCTTGTCCCAAATAATCAACTTTGTAAAAGAGGAAAAAACACTAGTGTCTGGGAAAGGACATTAAATCCATATGTGAATCTTTGCTCTCAGCAATCGTGGGTTAGACAAGCCTCTAGGCAAGAACAATGAAAACAAGCTAAATATTTTTTAAAGATTATCTAAAAACATCAGAGATTTACCAGGAAGAGAAGCCTTCAGGAACCAAGATCTAGGAGAGAAGAAAAACCCGCAAAACAACCCAGCCATCTTATGCCTCTGCTTTCCCTCTGAAGGTATTTACTAATTCTAAAGCAGCAGCTGACAGGCTGAGAAGCTGAACAAATTTTCTGGCCTTTACTAAAGGGACAGAAGTTGGCATTCAGGCTCTGTCAAGGAAGAGGAGCCTTGGTGAAAACCCTGGCTTAAAGTTGGGACCTTTAAAGAGCAAAAGCCTGTTAGTAAGACCTGACAAGAAATAGACTAGTTATCTAGAAGCACAGCTTTGAATTAGCCCAATACCTGATTGTATTAAATTGATCTCTTTCTTACCTTAAATGTCTGCTCCTTTGAAAGGTAACCGCATTCCAAGCCCCAAATTCTAAAACCTTTTATATATACTGTTTATCATTATGGAACAAGCATAACTAAGTAAACAAAAATACAGAAAGAAAACAGGAAAAAAGATAATTTTTAAAATTCACAAGATATCCAGAAACTGGAGTTATCAGACAAAAACCAAGAAAAAAAAACATTTTTAGTTTAATTAGAAGACTGTAAGAATACTGTTAAATTAGTTGTGCTAAAATGCAATAATTGCCAGGGAGAAAAAACTTGGAAATTTACTCTTAAAATAACCCTACACCTTGTCTACTTAAGTAGTTCAATGAAAATAATGATGAGATTTTAAGAGTTATGACCAGATTGAGAAGGATTAGACAGAATATTTCTGGAGCTTTCTTCTTCATATGATGTCACAATTGTGCAGATTTTTTTTATTTTGGATTTTTCTGTGGCATAAAATATCACTGATTTTATTCCAAAATTTCTAATCAGTTGTTCAATGTAATTTACTATTGAAATTCTACATAAAACAGATTACACTTGGATTTTTATATGTTTAATGTCTTATAAGCATTATAGAATATATTTTTTCTATTTAATACAAACTTTTAACTATAATAAACTAACATGATGATCGCTTCATCAACTGCTCCATTAGATCATATATTAGGTACTATTAGAGTCATTATTAGACAGCAATGAATTCTTATCAGCACAACTAAATAAATTTGGTTTTGACCTAAAAACAAAAAAGAAACAGTATTGTGATATTTAACTCTCAAGAAAGGAAACGATACATTGGATAATAATGCAGGGTATATTTTCATCTTGAATGATTTAGAGATAACTGTAGAATTAAGTAACTTAATGGAGAGACCAAGTTCATTTCAGCTATATCAATGAAGTAGACAACAACATTTAGAGGAAAAAAGTCTTCTAAAACCACTAGAAGAGTGGTTTGTAGAGTGGTTGAGTGCTTTACTGGCTGCCTGCCATTCTTTTGATGTTTTCTGTTAAATATGAATATTTCATCCATTTATCTTTGCAAACAAAATGTATCAATAGCATTAAGTTTTCATTTTTTATCTAGAGCTGAATTAATTTTCATCTCAAATTCTTTCATGGAAGAAAGGTTGGGAAGATGGGAAGGACAGACCCTTGATTCCAAATTAATTCAAACAAATAGAGGTAGGTAAGTAAATAGCAAGTAGATAATTGCTTCAGTGTGGCATTCCTCTCCTGTAATTATTTAGAATTAAAGAACATGAGATTTCGCTCTGATAAACCATAATTAGCAGAGAAATATGCAAGGTCTCCTTGGAGAGATCTCACAGCTTCAAAGCCACCAGGATCTGATGGTAAACTGACTTTATTAATGTACCTAAAAAAAGAGGGGGTGGGGGAAGACAGCTAAAAAGGTACTGAAAAAGAAGTCCTTACAGGCAGATTTTGGTAATAGCCAGACTAGCCAGTCCAGAGGAGTCTTGTCTGAGCACATGAGAACATGATAGTTTTAGAGCAAGAACACTCTTATAGTGGGCCAGAGTTGTCTAAGTTTTCTTAGAAGCCTAAGACAGCTTCAAGTTTATTCTGAGATTCAGAGAAGTTAAGTAAATTATTCTAAGTTAGTTAGTTATTTTTGAGTGACGGAGTCAGTTGACTCTATTCATCAAATATAAAAACAGTCAACTGCTACAATTTTTAAAATCTAATTACTGTTTAACCTGTTCTAAGGAAGTTTCAGCAAAAAACATGATCAAAATTATACACCTATGTATACATATACATTATGTAAAGATACATAGGTAGTTTTAATCCAACTGGGCCATTTCACCCCTCTCTCCCTCCCCAAAGATCCAGATTTTCATTGAGTAATGTTAAAAACAGACAGAACCTTTGCAATATAAGTACGTTCAAAGGCTCTTAAAGAAAAAGCAAATTCAACTGGGTGGAGTGAGGATGGGATGGAAGGATCTTAGTTCGTTCAGTTTGCTACAACAAAATATCATAAACTGGATGACTTATAAATAGCAAGCATTTATTTCTCACAGTTCTAGATCTGGAAAGTCCAAGAGTAAGGTGCCAGCAGATTTGGTGTCTGGTGAGGACCCACTTTTTTTATAGAAGGTACCTTTGGGCTCACATAGCGGAAGAGGGAAGACAGCTCTTTGGGACTTCTTTTATAAGGGCATTAATCTCATTCATTAGGACTCCACTATTGTGACTTAATCATCTCCAAAAGGTCCCATCTTCCACTACCACCATCTTAAGAGCAATCATTTTAACATGTACATTTTTGGGGAACATAAACATTCAGACCACAGCAACATAGCAGAAGTAGAGGGGTGTTCTGCTCACAGCACATTAAAAACCAATCCCCTTTGGATGTCTTTTTTCTCAGAGTTCATTAATTGTAGCAGATGCTCATTCATTCATTCATTCACTCTGCAAATATTTATGGAACATTTACAGTGATCCAGACCTTCAGGCCATCTCAGTTATTACTTTAGTCTCTGTCTTTTTCCTAACTGCCACCTACTTCTCTCTTACATCATTCTTTAACCAATACCATTCCATCAGTGCATGTCTTCATACCATTTTTTTTAAAGAATATGGTATTTTAATTATTCAATAAATGTCTAATGCCAGCAATGATCATAGTTAATAGATACTAAATCACTTTAATATTTTTTTAAATTTTAGATTCAGGGGGTACATATGCAGCAACATGGATGGAGCTGAAGATTGTCATCCTAAGTAAACTGACTCAGAAACAGAAAACCATTTCTAATATATAGCTACTAGTCTCTTTGCCTTCTCTCAATTCCATTCTTTTTGATTATTTGATGAGCACAGCAAAAAGGTTTCCAAGAGCCCTCTCCTAGGAAATATGGTATTCTCCCGAGAAGGTAGTAAAACTGTGAACATCTACAGGTTATGTGTCTTGTACAGACAGTTTGTCTACATAATGCTCTGCCAGATTTCCAAGCATACTCCCACCACCATTCTCAAACCTCTGCCTTAAGTGATGCATATATGAGAAGAAAATCAAAATTGGCAATAATTGTCTATAACAGAAAATGTTTTACTCTGCAATGTAGAACTCTTTACTCTTTACACAGACTACTAAAGAAAGAATGTTTAAAAACGATCATTTGAAAAGTATTGATTTTTATGAGCTTTTGGGTCATCATAGAGAACGCCGTTAGAGTACATGTTCAACTTCCTATAATTTTAATAAAATATTTTCTTCTAACATATTCTTGTAAATCTTACTAGTTTAAGTTCAATATGATTTTTTAGAAATTTTATTTTTTATTGGAGAGGTAAATGTTTGCAAAGTTAAATAGATATAATAATATTTCTCTTTTTACTCTTTAAATATCTCATGCTTTCATTGACCTACATCTTACTGAATACTAACTGCCTTGCTTCAATATTTTTCTTAAACTTTATTTTAGTAGAATTTATCAATTACTATGATCTGTCATTATAAAAATACTTCAAGATAAATTTATCTTACATTATTTTTTTGGTGAACAAAAGCAAACCTTTCTGTGATTAGATTTCCAGGACCAACTCACCTATCAAACAGTTCTCCTCCTGTGACGAGCTCTAGGACCAGACTGATTTCTGTAGGGGTTTCAAATATCTCTTTAAGTTTTATCTGGGGAAAGATATAAAAAAAGAATATCACAAATTTCTTATTTTCATCTTTCTTGGCAATAGCTAAAATTATGGCTAAAACAACATTCTGCAGTAGTAAAATGTTGGATCATTGCTAATAAAAGCCCCTTGTTCTAGTATCAGGCAGTTGCTACTTGTCACTCTCTTTATGAGTTGTAGATTTTATAAGTTACCTCATTTTTTCAAAAGTCCTATAGAATTTGAACTTTTGACAGTTGAAAAATATCTGTGTTGTAAATGGTTTTTAACTTTTTCAAAATATTCCCACTTTTGAATTGCTCCAGATAAAAACAACAAAACTCCCTAAACTATGTGAGGCATCATGGTTTCCAGTGACACACACTGCCTATTTCTTCTGGGAGCAAGTAATTTGGAATTAGGGATCTGAAGCAGACAGGACCAGATTAAAGTCTGTCTGTACATAAAGATACCCCTCAACCACTAAAAGAAGTTGTTGGTGGGTTAAGAGGCCCTTGGGAAAAAGTAGTGGCAGCAGTGATTTGATTGACTGTAATAGGGTTTTTATGACATTCAGATAATCCAACAAATTTTGGATACTTTTCTCCACACATCCAATAATCTAGTGACTAGAAATGATCTACATTTTAGGAAAATTCCACATTGACTTCTCTTTGAAAAGAAAAGTGGTAATTGGGTATAGCAAATTGTGGTAATTGGGTATAGCAAATTGTGTTAATTGTGCAAATTGTGTTATCCAAAGCCCCTTTCTCCTTACTATATTACAAACAGAATGCTGATTTGTTCAGGGAAGCAGGGTGCCTAGCCCCAGATGGTGGATCAAAAATACTCTAAGCCACTAATTTTCCAGCCTCCATGCAGTTCAGAATAACCTTGTGACCAGCTCTGGCCAATAAAATCTGAAGAGAATTTTGTTGCAGAGGGCTCTGAAGAAGCTTGTATTCTTCTCATCAGACTCTGCAGGTGAGATCCTCCCACCTTCTTCCTGTCTTGAAAATAGGCCTGATAACTTGTGAGAATTGTGTAGAAGCCAGTAAAAGCCACAGAGTATGGCAGAACCAAGGATGGTATCTAGGTTCTAGATGTCATCACTGAAGAGCTGAGACAGTGCTAGAAATTACCTGCCTTCTGTAGCTTGTAACACAAGAAAAGCATTTGTTTAGATCATCATAATCAAGTTTTCTGCTATTTACAACTGGATGCATTCCTAATTCATATTACGTTTTGAGCACTTTGCCTTGAGCCTAAGCATTGCAGGCCACCCCCCAGATACAACTTCCTCAGAGAAATGGGCAAAATATTTTCTTTAAGTAGATGGCTTAATTCATAAAAACAACTTATGGCTTAGAAAATGATTTTGTTCTTTTTTACTTCATCAGTTCAAGAAAGCTTTTCACTAGACCTTTCCCTCAGGGCTTTGTCAGGACAGAGCCTAAAGCAGAGCTTCTGAGGACATTTTATTTGCCTCATTCAAGTACATCATTTATTTGCATCTTCGCATTGTTCTTGAAGCAGAATCTCTCTCAAAGGAAACTGAAATGACTTTGGAAAGCAATGTATTTTCTTCATAGGCTTTTTCGGCAAATGGCATATTAATAAGATAGGCACATAAAAGAAGGAAAAAGCCAGTGTTTTATTAGAGCGAAACAAAACTTCAATTTTTACCTTTTATGCATGAAAAGAAAGATGGCATATATTGCTGATCTGTCAATTTTGGGACATTTTCAAGAGTGTTATTTGTAAGATTTATTCAGTCAAAGAACTGAAAATGAGATGAAGACAAGAGCTAGGCCATGTTGGCTACCAGTAGCAGGAGAAGCCCCTTCTCATTATCAGCATGGACAGTGAAGGACAAAAATCCCATTGGGTAGCTTTGTAAATTATTTGAAATAGTAGGTTAAAAACGACTTACAATGTTTGGATGTGAGAGGCGAAGAAGGACTCCTATCTCAGTTCTTACGATTTTTTTGTCCACCTAAAAGGCAAAATAAAAGAAATAAACTGAAAGAAACTCCCTTCTTAGAAAGATCTTCATTGTAGGAGAAAATCAGAAACAGCAATAACTACTTGGGTGAGTCAAGTAATTGGCAGAGAATAATTCCTAAGCTTTTTTCTTGAGTCTCTTTCCTCTGGTTTTTTTGTGTTTTTGTTTTTTTTCCAGCTGCATGTTCTCCCTCTTTGCTTCAGACATAAGGTAAAGCCACTAACTAAAACAGATCACAGCTTCCTAGACTCTGCGTGGCATCTTTCTCCCTTTCCTAACAAAAGCCATCATCACTATCACCACTAAGTCACAAGTTCATCTCAATCTATCCTCTTCCTTCTCTTGTTTCTTCTATGAAAGTCTCTGTCTCAACCTCAGTGGAGTTTTCAGTCATTTTACCTGTCTTCATCACAAAGAGGTGACACATAACCCAGCCCAATCAAAGTACCCTGTTTCCTGGCTATAGGGATAGGGTTAGGAATATTCTACTAGACTCAAGTCATCCCAATCAGGGTCTCCTCCAGCAATTTTGCTTAAATAATCAAGAAAATGCTATTCTCTTTTTATCTGAAAGTATGAGAGCAAAGGAGGATAGAGTCTGTTGCTGCCAGTGACCATTTTTGATGCCATATGGAGACTACTTTATTAAAAATAAAGCCAACACAGAAAAAAATATTGCTGAGAATTGAAGAGAGTGCTGCTGATATAATTTAATTCCCTGGATTCAGTTATGCATAAACTAGTTTGCCCTTTGAGCTTTCTAATTATATGAGCAACTAAATTTCCTTTTCTGCCTAAATCATCCAGAGTTACTTCCTGTCACTTGCCATGAGAGAACGCCTACTTAGCTCACCCCTTCATCTCCATGCTTGAGGCAGTGGCTATTTAGTTTTGAATATTTCAAAATTAGGGGTGTTCCCCATCTCTAGGCCAATGATTGACTCTGTTAATCATAACGAGCTGGTGTTTCAGATCTCTAAAAGTCGCATATGAGTCAGAAAGGTTTTAGTTTACCAACAAAATCTACCAAAATCTATCAAAACCCTATCACAGATAATATCTGTACTATTACTGTGATTTCTTCCATCTGAACCATCCAAAACTTTTTGACTGGCAGGGTTCATATCGTTTTAGATATGAGTATGAAAAATTTTATGTGCATTTCACAGTCAAACTTTGTGGGCATATCCAAGAGACTGCTTCAAATGGAGAATGGGTTCTACCCTTTCAGTTACTTCTCCTGAGAAAGAAAGCATTGACCTCAGGGAAAACCCAACCCCATTTCAATGGTGACAAGCAACCACAACTTTCAAGATAGATGAATAACAAAACCCATTCATTCACTTTTTATTCTCTAATAAAAGCTTTAATCTACAAAGATGCATTCATTAAAAAATAAAAATGAATGAACACTCAAATAAATTTTATAAAATGTATATATTATTTTTCTTGGTTACAACATATAAATATAATTTACATTTATTTTCTCTGGCAAATATAATTTTGTCAGATCCTGGAGAACCTTATTTAAAGAGAGCAGTCACCACTTATAAATGCCTTTAGTTTTTATGAGAAGGAAACATAGTTTCAGGGAGATATTAAAGAATTCTTATTCCAATGAGTGATTTCTCAAGAGTCTATTTCACCACTGTACATAATAAAACATTAAGTATCCTTATAGGCATGGTAAGGCCTCAAACTACAGTAAGTTTTGGTCATTCTTGCAGGCAGTTTAGAGAACTGAGATGTTTTAATATATTTTTTGCCAAAGAAAATCAAACTTTCACAAATCAATTTTCAATGCTACAAAACAAAAATATATTCATTTATGTTGAATGAATGCATCTGTGAAACCCTGCATAATTCTTAAAATATTCATATTATCACACATAAAAATGCAAGATCAGCTATAAATCCTGACTAAGAAGAAGGATGTAGATACAATCTGTGCATTTTAATACCTGACAGCTAATATGAGACAGTTACATAAGAGAGAAGTCTCACTTAAGCAGAGAAAAACAAGTTGGCAAGAAATAACCTAACTCAAGTGTACAGCAAATTGATAGGCTCTAGGGCTTTCGTAGTGAAGAAATAAAGAAAAGCACACATCTTAACACATCCAGTGCTCTGTGACTGGAGATCTTTAAAAACTGCTTCACCAGGTCTTCTCCAGACACTAAACCATAGCTACTTTGTACTATTCAGAATATGTATTGGCCGAAACTCTTTCATTTGCAAGTAACAGACACCCAGCTCAAACGAACTTAAGCCAAAAAACGTAATTTATTGGCATATGCAACTGAGAAGTCATAGTGGCTCTATCTACAGACAAGGGTAAATCTAGAAGTTCAGATGCAAACAACGTCTGTCTTGTCTCTCTGTCTCTGTCTGTCTCTCTGTGTGTGTGTGTGTGTGTGTGTGTGTATGTGTGTGTGTTTGTGTGTCTTTCTCTCTCCCTGTGCATGTTTGTGTCTTTGGCTCTCTACCTCTCTCCTTTTCAAATGGCATGAAACATGACCATAGACATTCCACACCTATATTTCTCAGGTTCACATTTCAAAGGGAAGAGAGACTCACTCTCTACATCTATCTAATCTCCTTCTCATAGGTCTTGCTTGTTTTCTATGCCTACTCCTGGATGTAGGAGACATATAACTATGGCAAGGACAAACATGGGCCATGGGCCCTCTCATTTGACTATAGTTGAAGGCGATGAGCTTTGGTTCTCCCAAAGAATGGAGGTTGGCAGACACCAAAGACTCCATTACTGTTTGCTTTTAACATTTGTTCCCATCTTTTTACATTTCCATACAATCCTGAAGTATTATTTCTCTGCTTCTTCCATGTCACCGACTAATCAAACAATAATTCGTTAATAATTATTAATTTACAATAACTCTTCTCATTACTCAACTTAATATTTAAAACTTTAACCATTTACTGGTAATGCAAATGAGTCCTACCAAATCGTAATTTAGGGTTTTGCCTAGAAACTCTTTTGAATCCATAGTGGAAAGTTGATGTAGGGTAATCACTTATCTCATGAATAAACCTAGCAGACTACCTAGCATTTCTACCTCAATACTGTGAGGTATTCTCTACTTCTGGGCAGTAATCTTGTCGATTGTTTTGATGTTTCTGGTGATATAAGTGGAAGGAAAGTAAGAAAGTTTAAGAAAATGATGGCCCTAGCCCAAAGAAAAGGTTGGAGTAAAAACTATAAAGAGGCTCCTGAAATCTATGTGCTTTGTGGAACAGAAGATAATTATAACTTTCATATTGTCAAAACGTCTGAGGCAGAAAAAATATATAAATTTGATCTATTTTTTCAAGTATTCCATGGAACTGGAGAGTCAAGAACTTCTGAATAAGCTCTTTAGTTTATATGTAACAGATGTATAGGGCATAATAAAGGTCTGACATGGGGTTTATATGCTCAGAATCTTATTAAACAATTGGAACATATGAAAAACAAACAAAATGTGGTCTTTTCCAGAGGAAGATTACAATCTAATTTGAGGGATCAGACTAATCTACATAATGTCACTGGAAATAGTAAAAGACAGTAAAGGAAGAATGCAAGTTCCATTGTTCATTGGAAGATCAGTTTTCTGAATCAAAATGCTGCTGATATTCAAATAGTGGGTTTATTCTAAAAGATTTTTGATATTATGAGCCATTTTAAAAATCACATTACTGTTAATACAAAATGAAGACTGATTTGCTAGAGTGTGTACAGAGTACATAAAAACGGTGTGATATGTGGATTGCTGAGGTCCCATTAGTGATGTCAGGCACAATTGTGAAATATAGACAGCAAGGTCCAGGAGGCAGTGGAGTACTAGAACAAGACACTAAAAGTTATTTAATTTAGTAAAAAAAAAAGTATGAATAAATTTCATGAAAATTTACTCTTGAGCAATAGACATTCCCCCTGTACCAAATGAGAGATCTTTGAAAAAAGAGAGGTATTGTTAGGACAGTTAGATGGCATTGATAGCGCTCTTCTAAGACCCACTTGCCTCACCTTCTATTTCTGTTTCTGCAGATGTTGTGGAAGAATATTCTGATACAGTTTATTTTTATGACTATCTTCTCTTCAGGTCAACAAGGATTTCCTTGCTAAAATAAATGTGAAAATGTGAAAATAAATGTATCTGTCATTATTGCATAATGCTTTACAGAAATTTTTTAAGGACATGGACATTCCAAAATTAAGATTGCTGTATTAGGGCTTACTTTTCTCACTACACATTTAGGGTTTGTGTAATATAGGGTTCCCTTCACTCCAGTTTTCAGATATTTCTGATCAATGTAAAATGACAACATATAGCAGGATTATTGTTTTTTTTCACATGGCATATTTATATTAAATACAAATATGCATTTTGAACAAATTTATTTTTTATCATGTTATAGAGGACATATCATATATTGGGATGCCATTTCTTTTTAGTTATTTGAGAGTTAAATTATCTGAATCTAAAAATACTTAGAACAGACCAGATTGCAAAAAGTCTGGTCTAGCAATCTTCTAGTGTAATCACTGCTCTAAATTCAGAATTAGCATTTCTTTAAAAACAATTTTTAAAAGGTAATTCTTTTTCCAGTAAATTCAATATCATTGTTTCTCAACTCAAAATGTGGTTTCAAGACCCCTCCAGGTCCTAGAGACCCTTTTAGGACATATGTGAGGTTCTACTTTTTCCAGTTGCATATCTCAGTGGGGTCCAGGCTTTTTCCATATACATCAGTCCTCCATATCCGTGGGTTCTGTATCTCAGATTCAACAAACTATGGATGAAAAATATTTGAGGAAAAAAACCCCAAAACAATAAAAATAACAATATGATGGTAAAAATAATACAAATAAAACATCATATAAAAACTATTCACATAGCATTTACATTATATTAGATATTATAAGTACTCTAGAGATGGTTTTGAGTGTACTGGAGGGTGTGCATAAATTATGTGCAAATACTATGCCA